CTATAAGCACATTTTCAAAGATAGCAAAATAATTTATTTTCAGAAAGTGACAAATTTTTTTTAAATATATAATTTTATCTTCAGTAATTATACAGCACTTTAAGCTATGAGATATTTGATTATAATCGAGGAACTCTATAATAACCTTTTAAATTTACTGTATAAGAAACAAAGTTTTACAGTCAGTTAGGAAAAAAATTGAAAATCGAATTTTTGTACATGTCTTGTCTTTTTTTGTCTACAAGACAATAAGATTATCACTGTGAAGTTCTGAAGTCAACAAGACAACGTTGTGAAAAAAAATTTGATAACTGCAAACAATAATTTTCGATGACTAATACAGAGTGCCAAAGTAATAGATTAACGACAACTCATTTTCTTTCTTACAAGTTTGAAACACGATAGTTAAAAAAATATATATTTGAAAAGTTAGATTTATAAACTGACAAAGAACAAATAAATTTTCAATTAAAAATAACTACGATTTTTTATCTATCCGTGAAATTGACGTCGTTCAGCAAATGTCAGATTTCCATAAACAGCACGTTTTCTATCCTGGGCTTCGAGCATCGATAAGGACATATCATTGTCAATAAGGTACATCTCATTCTGAGCATCAATTACCGATTGAGATACACCTAAAAAGTTTAAATTTATTTTAAGTTTGAATGTTATCGCCTTTTTTGTCCTGAATTTTTTTTTTAAAAGAAGCACTTTTAACAAAAAGCTTAAGAAGAAGGTCTGAAAAATGTAACAATGTAAATATGCTAAACTTCTGAAACAAACTTTCAGAATCTTTAGTTTGACGTTCTCTAAGTAAGCATTTAGCGAGAGACAAGTAAGCTGATTAGTCTTGATTTTAAGAAAAAGTTTATAAAAATATAGCTTAGTAACACTAAATTTGCAATTATTTTCTCAAAAATTTCTGAATAAAACTAAATGCGTAAGTCTCAGTTTTATGCAACAAATACTTATTTACAAACATGAAAAGGTTGTGCTAATAATTTAAATTGGATGCCCAGAATTGCTCAGTTCTACAATAGGTCGTGATACTTTTATTGAAATCTTTTTTAACAAGCCTCAAAAGACAGACATGCATCAACGTGTTGACTGTTTGACAGAGCTGTTCTAAATCATTTATTGAACTTAAGCACATGAAGTTTATTATACTTTGACGTCATTTGTCTAACATTCTGCGTCAGCTTTAGTTTTTGAAAAATTTTTGTGAGATATGAATTGATTAGAGCAAGAGCAATACGAATAAAATTGCATTTATTGGAAAAGAATGATGCAGAAACTATATAAAAAATATAGTTGAAGAATTTGGTATATGCTACTGTAACTGTTAAAGGACTGAGCGACAGCGTTAGTAATAGCAGCTTACGAAAAACAGGTGCAGAAATGTACATACTGGTTAAAGGTTATAAAAGAAGTCGAAAAAATGTAAGTTGTTGTATAAATGAGGTTTCTTAAATGTAGGTAATTGCACAGCTTTAATAAAACTTTGAAGCACAAATGCTACCATGTCCATTCAGGTGTAAAAATTTCAGGCTAATTTATACTTTCAAGTTGCATACAAGAATGCATTCTTTGAGTTCTGTTAAGTGTAGGAAAGTGAAGTTATGTGAATAATAGCTGCTGGAATTGGTGCTATAAAGAAAAAAAGTTTTTTGACATTTTGAAAGATTTGCACTAAAAACGCATTATGGCAGTCGAATTTTTTTTTGGCACAATGTGTAGCGCTTTATAGTATTTCCATTCTTTGTAAGAAAACAGTTTAACACCGTGGTTTGCAATTGACTGCAAGCTCCAGGTGTAGCTTTTTTAGAATATCGCTTATTTGCGCAAAAGAAAGAAGCATTTTGAGAAAATTGCAAAAAACTACTGAAGTGGCCTTGTAAAACAATTTTATCAAAACTGAGTAATTATTCTTCTTCCAGGAAGAAACAGTGAAACTGCTTGGAAAGTAAAACTGCTTGGAAAGTATTTGTGAGAAGCAAACTTTGTTTACCTCAGAATTTAAATAACCATAAAAAATTTAGTGCTAAAATTGAGTCAAAGATAATTAAAGAATATAATGAGCATTTTGGTAGTGGTAATAAGCAAACAGTTTTTTCTGTTTATATAATATTATTACTGAAATAAGAAACTGTAATGCTTTTTTTATGCCTCAGTTTTTCCTCCGACTAACTTTTTTATACTATCAGATGTGAATTACTTGTGTTGTTGATTTGTTACCTCTTAGTTGTAACCAATCCAACCGTCGTTGATAGGTGTAGTTCTGTTGGTTTTCCTGTCGTTGAAGTGCTGCACGATAAATTTGCTAAAAAAAATCTGGCAAAAGGTCTGTGATCAAATCCAGCTGTCTTATTGACTGTTCAACATGTACTGTCAACTTTGGTTAAATTGAATACTTATTCAAGTTTGTTAACTTACAAAAAGCTTTTTTAAGTCTAACTAAAATTTTCAGGTTTTTAAATAAATATTTTAAAGAATAGCTCAGAGACCTGAACATCTTCAGGTTGTCTTTGTACGACGGCTTCAACCTGTTGTTGAATCTCACTACGTGGCGTATACCAATCGAACATCAACGTGCTCAGTAGTGCGGCATCTGCCGGATTATTGACAAATCTTCTTAACATTTCGACAGCTGAATAGTAATGAGTTGCAGAGGTAAAGGCTACTCCAAGCATTATAGCTACTGCTAGCACCCTTCTCATCTTCACCTAAATTTTCACATTTTCTTTTCATCTAAGGCGCATACAAGCTAATTTATATCAATTAAATATTGTAACAAAATAAATTTTCTTAATTTTTAAGCGAAAATTGTTTAGCGCAACTTGCTTTCAAAAAAAAATTGATTTTTATACTTTTAGATTTCAAAGACTTTTCAGAAGCAACAAAATTCCATGTGATTAATGAAGTAAGAGATCTAACTTACTTCAGAGTTAATGAAGTATTACTAAGCACAGAACGTTTAACTTTTCCTAATCATATCCACATGATATATTTTTAAAAAATGCTTGATTATAGCATTTTTTAATGCGTTTTTTACAGGTAACATTTCTGAGTCAATTTACAGTTAAACGATTATCGAGAAAAATATTAAATTGCTCAGAACCAAATGTCGACTGTCCATAACTTGTGCTCTTTTAACCAATAATAAAAGTGAGACGTGGGCAATTGAAACTTTCAAAAAAACAACTTTAAATGTCAGACATTTTGAAATTACTTTGTTAACTATGTTCATTTCTCGATAATTATTAATTTTTAAACAAAGATTTAAAAATATTAGTTACATGCTCAGTAGACTGCATGACTACTAATGCACCTGGAAAAAATGATACACTTTCAAAAATAAAGGTCAATGATTGAAAGTCAGTGTTAAAAATAACTTTAAAAAAATTTTGCAAAAAAGTTACTGTTAGCAACAAAAAATTGAGCGTTTTTTCTCTAATAAAGAATAATGATTTTACAGAACAGTATACAAAGTTAAACTTTAGGCAAGCTAAAATCTTGGAAAAGTTTTATGGCAGTGTGGTCTTAAGTTCCTGAAGTGCTGAAAAACAAGAGGAAGAAAATAGCTCACTATATACGCCAGCAATTTGCTCTGGCTAATTTGACAACATTGAAAAACGTATAAATGCACCTCGAGTATTCATAACAATAGTTCTGATAAAATTTCTGTATTAACAGAACTGATAAGAACAGTCAAAGTCAAACTGATTGATAAATCGTGTTTAAGAATTGGGAGCGTTCGAATTATTTTCGAACATAATTGTACTCAGAAAAGCTGGTTGCAAAAAACAAAATTCTTTAGAAACTTGAGAACAGTTTTAGAGGTGAACTGTTGACGAAAGTACTTTGGTCGGTTTAAAACGCTTGGACGTTACAGCTCTTTTATATCATCATGCTCGTAAGTGTTTTCATTACAAAAGTTGGTACTTTGAGAAAGTAACGACCAGTTTTGCTCCTTGGAAAATAGACCAAAGTTCACGAGGTAGTTTTTTAGAGGTGGTTTTTTGCGAACAGTTAATCAATCTCTTTAACCAACCAAATCTCACGATAAAACTTCCGACTTCAAGGTTAGCAAAAGTTATAAGTTAAGATACAGTGACAGCATTTCTAGAAATTATCAGATCATATGCATAAGATTTATACTCCATTTGGTTAGTTTAAAATTTAAACTTGTCTGTTCTGAATAATAATGCATTTACCAGGTTATGTAAAACAAACCACTTCAAATATTCTAATTAACAGATGTTTTTCTGTTGTTTTCACTGAAAAAATTTTAATAGGATTTAGTTAAGCCTAATTTGTGATTGGTCAGAGGCGTAGCTGTCGAGATAAATTTTCAGAACATTTAAAACTGCTTACTGATTAAACAGTGTAAAAGTTTGCAACAAATGTGAAAACGCTGAAGTCGTATTTTTGCGCCGAAAACATCAATGAGAACCTTACACCATTCTTAACTTCTTTGCTGTGCAAACTTTTGTGGAGAAGAGGAAACTTTGTAGACATTTTGATTTATAATCTTTTTTAATGATCGGCTGTCATTGTTTGCAGACTAATAAGCAGTCTTTTTTTTTTTTTAACAGCTAAATTTGTTACATTTAAAAAAAATGAAAGATGTCTATAATATGAAATAATGTTACGGCTGTTAGTGGTTTGCAGCTACTGCTCATAGTTTACTACGTATGATGCTAACAACTATTTGAAGCACTTTGGAATGCATTAAAGAAGATGTAATTGTTGCAGCTGCATAGTAAATATTACATCTTAAAGCAACAGTAGAAGAACGAAAAAATTTATTCGTAATCTAAGTAATTGACAATGAAACACAGCTAATTACTGCAGTGTAAGACCGTTCTTTCTTTCAACGTTGACTAGTAAACAGTTGTGAAAGCAACGAACAAATCGAAAAAGTTTGAAAAAATTTATAATATACTTAAAACATCAAAAACCTTTTGATTACTTCTGTTCTATTTGCAGTTTTTCGTTTAAGTCTGTTAAGTTCAATGGTTAATCATCCATCATAAGCAGCGCCCCGAAAACCACTGTAAGGACTAAATTATGCGAACATCCAAGGTTTAAATATCTCCATGACAATCTTCTTGTTTTTATTAATTAACAAACGCCTTCTATAGCGTATTGAATAAAGTGTATTTTAGGGCAAAATGACTTATTTTATTGGTTTTTATTCCCAATGTTTACACTAATGTCTCTGATTATAAGAAATAATGTTGCATGTCGGTAAATAATTTGAGTAAAGTAGAGCTTTACGTCTTGCTCTCTTAAGTTTATTTTTACTTCAAATAGTCTTCTGTGAATCACAGATTGTGAAAACTTTCTGACAAAAAAAAACATTTTTTTGAGCTTCTTTTATTTGTTTTTAAGAACTATACAATAAACTCAGTTTTTTTCGACTTTCTACACGAATAAGTTTTTGTCTACTTAAAAAACTCAAATTACGATTAATCGGCGGTCAACTTCTTTTATATTACCAAAAACAATAAGCCTATACTAGTTTAATTTAATACTTTTATTGCCATTGTTGTGAATTTATGCACACACAGTTTGATAAATTAAACGTTGAAATTAACGGTATATAATTTATACAAACAGGAAATTATCAAAGTGTTTTTCTTTTCAACTTTATATGCTCAAAATTATATCTGAAAAATTGATGTTTTTCTAAGAAACGTTGAAATGTTACCAAAAAGAATATTATGACAACATCATTTCTGACAAAACCATTCTATACAATCACAATGAGTGTTACAGTCTATTCTTCAGCTCTACAACATAAGGAGTTTAAAATTCTTGTACGAAGATCCTTCTGTCGCCAAATAGCTGTCGCAATCATAGTAATTGAGTTCAGATGGGTAACAAATAGTGCATAGTGCTGCATTGTGAAATTGAAATTACCGGAAAGTGTTTCCACCTCAGAATAGATAGTCGGAATTATTACAATCACTGAAACGCTTCTTGTAATTTTGCTCAAGTAGCAGACAAATTCTGTAGAAAACAATTATTAAACATGAAAAGTTAAGCTTTTTTTCAAATTGTAAGCTGAACTTGCAAGAATTATTGAAATTTGACCTATTCTGTTTGTTCTGTTTTATAACAACGCAAAAAAAAGTTTCTTTTAATAAATGTTACATAAACTGTAAAACTTACTGCCATAAAATTGTTTATCAAGCATAAAATATGCTTTAAAAAAGTGCATAATTTTGTTGCCATTTAACTGAGGTTTTAGAAAACAACACGCTTGGAACAATAGCTGTTTAGTTGTCATTTATTGTTGACAAATTTTTTGATAAAGGTAAAATTTATCTTTTCATAGAGTTACTCGAGAGGAAATTTTTAGTAAACAGTATTTGCAAACAGGTTGAATAATTGAGAAGAAAAGCATAAGAAAAAGGTGAAAGAAGAATGAACGTATTTTTTTTGGTTACAAAATAATTTGTCAAAGTGAAGTGCCTTAGAACTACTATATTAAAAAGGTTGGCCGCAGTTTTCCGATATTTCGCACCGTATCTGTATCCCCTTTTAGCTCTTAGAGTAAAAGTTAAAGTATACAGCATTGTAAGCAGTATCAGTAATGCACAACTGCCAAGCCATATATTACATTTGTTGTACTTTTATACAAATTATAAAAATTTTAAAGCACTTTTTTAAATACTCTTTGAACTTAAAAATTAAAATTCTGTAAATTGTCGCGTGAAATTTTTTTCAATTTTGTTTGTTGAAACTAATTTCAGCTGTTTATAAGAATTTTTTGTCTGTCTGCAGTAAAAAATTTTTCTTGTTTTATATAGACAAGCAACACATCTGCTAAATAAGCGCAAATTTATTAATCTTTTCTAAACCAAGTTAACAAAAGTTCACAAAAAAAAAAAA